AGGGTACCTCTACCTCCTTCTCCCTCATCCCCCATCCTCCCAACAGAGTAGAACGCACCCCTCTCCCAGTACCTCAAAGCATAGTCCGCAAACCTCTGAGGTCCAGATTCCCTCGCTGCCAACACATTCTCTTTTAGGGCTGACCCAGATCCTCCTGGCTGCAGTGGGCAGGGGGACACTCAAGGGGACAGCATGGAGAGAGACACCAAGGCAATCAGCACCCTAGCTAGGCTTCCGGGTCACCAAGGTCCTTGGCATGGTCACACAAGGAGGCTAAGTCCCCTCCGCAGCTTGGCCAGCTTCAGGTTTCCATATGCATGCTCGAGTTGCCATGATGAACACATAGGCTTCAAAGCAATTATGAAAGCTAGAGAGGAACAAGAAGCAGCTTGTTCATTTATTAGCAGCAAATTACACTAAATATCTTAGCAAATAAGACAAAATGTCAGTTCGGTGGTTGGCAGAGACGCATGTCAGTTCTTGCTCCCAGCCCCCCACAACTGGGAGTCACATTCTGCAGCAACTGTTTAGGGGAGAATATTGAAACACAGGAGGCAGGAAGGGAGCCTGAAGGCTTGTGAATTATGGGACGAGTGGGTAAACCCCAGCTACATAAAATTTGAGCCTGAGGAAGGACTAGAGGCCAGAGACCCTGCAGGAGGGCAGTGGGGGCAGTGGTAGAGTAGGGAGGCTCCGTGCGGTTCACTCTCTATACAGCAGGGCCACAGAACAGGAGCGGTCCCAGGGTACCCTGGAGCAGAAGCGAATTTGAGACAGGGAGGGAAGAAAGCAGGAGGAGAGTGAAAGCTGCTTTCTTGAGCCTGAGACTGACGGCTGCCAGGAGCAGGACAGATGGTCCTTGCCTCATGGAGAGCATAGTGATGGAGGGAGGGAGGGAGGGAGTGGGAACCAGGCACATCTGGCGGCCTGGGGATGAAACGGGAGAGAGACACAGGGAGAGAGGGAGGGGGAGGGCCACTCATTTCCTAGACTGAACTGAAAGGGACTGAGCCTTGGTCAGTGACACGCATCCTTCCCCGCTCCTCCAGAGCCTGGGTGCCTGGTCTGACTGAGGGCAGGGACTCAGGGTTCCTGGGCCCCACAACACAGAGAACAGGCCCCCTCTCTTTTCCACAATAACCATATTCGTGCCCCTCAATCTTCCTGGCATCTGCATTTTCTGTTCATCCTTTAGTGGGAAAACAAACACATCTTGGTCTGATTCAGTGATCATTGAGAACAGTTGGTTGATCTGAGGTGCCTGGTCTCCAAGATCTTTGTCCAGGGTTGTCCCCTGAATCCTATTTTGCATTAGCTTGTTAGGCTGGCTAGAGCTCCTGGGGTATGCACATGAAATATTTAGCCGTTACCTCAATCAACTGCACCAGAACTTCTAGGGATGGAGCTCAGGTACTTCTATCATTAAAAAATCTCCTAAGTGATTCTAATGTATAGCTAGGGTTAAAAACCACTAGATTAATGGGATCCAGAGCTGTGTCACTAGGAGCATGGCACTCAGGGTCGAGGAAGTGAGAGGCTGATTTATTATGGGCTAAAATACTATAATCCACACCAGGGCCTCACCTAAAAAGGCAATAAGGAAACATGTCCAGAGAATGGCAGCAGGGGTGGGAAATCGTGTCAGCTGAGGGAGGGTGAGGGGAGAGGGCTCTTTTGCAACTCCAATGCTAGGGAAAGCCTGGGAACAAAGGCCACCAGCACTCTTTCGCCCCATGAGACCCAGGTTTCTTGTGCTCTAACAAGCAGCACCTTATTCGTGGTGAAATAGTGTCACCATAATTACCTGGAGCTAAGGGAGCCGAATAGCAGGTTAGGAACATCCTCAGACGCAAGAGCAAATGATTTAACTTGCTCTGAGGCACCTGCACCCAGCAAGGTGCGGAGGAACCGTCCCCATCCATTCTGGTCAGGTGTTCCACATACTCCTGATAGAGGGCTCAGCCCAGCCCCAGCACACACTCAGACCACCGCATCCAGCAGGAGGCAGGCACACGCCCCTCCAGGACTGGGGTCCCAGAAACATGACGATAGCTCCCTGGGAACTGAGGCAGCTGCTGAAGGGAAAAGTGTCCAGAGTGAGTGGCAGAGAGAGAGATGATCCACACTCTGTCTCAGGCTCCACCCCTCAGGCCCCTGACCAGCTAGGGTGGGAGTTCCCAGCACCCTTCCAGCCCTGTCCAGAATTGGTTTTGTTCATGGCCCTGAGTGTTCTTTGCTTGCACATTCTTGCTGCCGCAGAGACTGACTAAAAAAGGCAGCCCAAACCATCGTCAACTCTACCAACATTTAATATGCACAGGGCTGTGATCTCAAGATCCCACTTTTTGGGCTCCACCCTGTAGAAACCCTAGCACAAATCTGCATTATTTATATGCAAACTACATATAGGAACTGGCAAAACATAATCTAGAATAGTGGTATTAATGCCATGAGATACTATGTAGCCACTTAAATAGAATGAGGGAGGTCTTTGAAAGGAACTAGACACAAAATAGTATATGCTATAGGATTCCACTTAGGAGCAAAACGAATGCATGATGAAAGCAGCCAGAATAGTATCTGGGGGGAGGGGGGTGCTATTGACTGGGAAGGGTCACAGGGGAACTTTCTGGATTTGGAAAGTGTTTCATATCTTGACCTGGATAATGGTTAGATGGGTGGAGATACTTGCGCGAAAATTCATGGAGCTATACACTGAGGGCAGATGTCTTTTAAACACTAGCTGCATGTTACACCTCAATTTCAAATGTAAAGAAACAGGAGAACTGACTTGGGAAAATGGCAAAGAAAACCCCTCCTGCAGAATGATATGTATGACTTCATGTTTATAAATGCGTAACCTGGGGGAAAGTCTGGAAGGACAGCAAACCCTTAATAGTGCTTCCCTCTGAGTAGGGGGACTGGAGGTGAGGACAAACACTTTACACGTATCTCTACTGTTTGCATTTGTAGCATTTGAGTCTGCTGCGCCCCACCCCCATCTGTTCTGGCTCCTCACTCCATGTCAGCCTCCCGCTTCTCTGTGGGTTCTCTGCCCCTGGAGGCCTGGGGTTTGGCTGCTTGGGGCAAACTGTTGGCTCCCTGTCTCAGTTTAAGATTTGGGCTTTCCAGCAGGATCTGTGGACCTTACCCACCTCTTATCAGCCAGGGTCTCCGCTCATTGGTCCATAAGGACCAGCATCCCACTCAAGAACCACCTCCTGGTGTGAGCAAGGTCAGGCACCTCCCACTGAACAGACCCTGGGGGAGGCATCATTCCTGTGGGGGGCATCCATGCCTGTGAGCCGCAGAGCGCTCTGAAGGAGGAAACACGCAGGTAGAGAGAGGCAGGACCACTTGGGGCCCTGGCCATGCTGTTTTCACTCCCACCCAGGACCCTCCCTCTGAGTGGTCAGATACACTAATGGTCTCCATGGCCTCGGTTACAAATGGTCCTGGAGGTGAATTCCAGTCACACCCTGAGCCAAGCAAACGAACCCTTGACTCCTGCAGGCTACAGCTTGCTGCACTGTGAGAATTATTTCTCCACTAAAATGCAGGAGTTGGAGCTTTGCCCAGAAAGGCAGCTAAAAATACTGCTCTCTGGGGTACTTGTCACCAGGGACTTAGTGGCCACCTTCCTCATCTCTCAGCCCCCTGGGCAAGTCCCTCATCTGCCAGGGCACTGGCCCAACCACTTGATACAGTATCACATCTAAGCCTTAACCCAGCCCTGTCAGAAAGAAAAAGCACCAGTAATCATACCTGTTCTACAAATGGGCAACCTGTGGTTCAGACAGCTTGTTCTGGGCTACGGTGCTCTAGCTACAAAATTGCCTAGGGCGCAAGAGTGTGCAGCCTCGACTGCAGGGAAGGAAAGATAAGCCCTCCTGTGTGCCCAGCACTTTATAGTTTCCAGTGTCTTCTTATCATTGCTTGTCCATCCCTCACAACCGTCCTATGAAACAAACTAGTATCATCCCACCTTATAGGTGGGGTTGAAGCCCAGCGAGGTGAGCAAACCCCAGGTGGGGGTGGAAAGCAAAGGCAGACTCTCACAGACCTTTTGATCCTAAAAACCAGTGGTGGGACTTCAAGCAAGGTGACCGTCTCACTCCCAGGGCCATCTACTTTAAAATAAGTGCTCCAGTTAGTAAAGAATGTCACATACTTTTCAGAAGAGGGCTCGTCACCCTTACTTAATGGATAAGAAAATTAAGGCCCAGAGATATGAAGGACATGGTCACAAGTAGTAGTGGAGCCAGGAACAGAAGTCAAGTGTCCTGACCCCCAGCCCCAGGCTCCTCCTGCCACCCCAGGGCCTGCGGAACTCTGGGCCCAACTGGCTGGCACTGAGACTCAGTCCTCCAGGGGCAAAAGCACAGTGTACTCAGCAGGCTCCCATGTCCCTGAAACTGGTTCTCTGGACGCCTGCTTGCCTGCCATGTTCAACCCCTCTTCTCAGTCTTTGGAGGTGGAAAGTGGTGAAAACCTCAGGCCCACTGTACGTATTAAGTAAGGCCCAAGGAAGCTACAGGCCTTGCTCGGGGTCACGGGGCAGAATGAGGTCCCGGACCTCCGACTCCGGCATGGTGCCACCTTCCCCATCTGTAAAACGGAGCATTAGCAGGTGCCCTACACAAACGTAAGGTTGGAGTCTCACCAGACATAGAAATTAGAGGATGTTGGAGGAGCAGGTAGAACCCCACACAAGGACCAAAGGGCCTGGCTCTCTGCACAGCCAACTTCACTTTACCAAGAGGGCAGCTGAGGCCAGGGAGAGGGCCACACACCTCCGGAGACCCAGTGCTGTAAGGGTGGTGAGAGAAAGGAGCCTCGGCCTTGATGCCCAGGAAGGAATCCTTCCCGCTGAGCCCCGACGCCTGCCATGTTTCCACATGCTTCACAGAGAAAAAGCTTTCTACAAAGGCATTTATTTTTTTTCCCCAAAGCCCCTCCCCCACTCACCCAGTTAACAGAATTCCTCAGAGTTCCACATTTAAATTAGAAATACCCACATCTTCCATTGCTGGCGAAGGGAGATATGTCAGTGGGAGGACATGGGAACTTCAGAAGTTTACACAACCAGAGGCGGGGCCTGCCAGAGACAAGCCAGAGCCGGCTGCCCAGCCCCGGAACAGCACCATGGCGGGGGATAGGAGGGGCGATATCCCTACCCCCCGAGGTCCCAGGCTTCCCCTATGCTGCACTCTTGGGGTCTGTTGGGGCTTGGCTACCTGCCCGCCTCCCTGCTCACCCTGGAAAGGCTCTTTGAGAACCATCAGCTTCTCTCCAGGTAAGGACTAGGGGTGGGATGGAGGTGAGGTACCCAAGTGGCTGGAGGCACAGAAGAGAGGACCAGTAGGGAACAAGGCAGGAACCCCTCTCATGAACTGCTATTTCCTCATGGGTTTCTGGCTGAGAGGCAAGCTCCCTAAGGGAACGGCTTGTCTCTTCAAAGAGGGTTCCCCACACCTGACACGGTGCCAACACCCCACAGGTGCTCAGCGAACATCATTTGAGTGGATAAACAAAAGGCAGAAAAAGCAGACGGACAGAAGCTGACCCTCAGAGACCCAGTGTGACCAGCACATGCCTCCCATGGGGACAGTTGGCACAGGGGGGCTCATAGGGCACATCCCAGTGCACCGTGGAAGAGACGGGACCAGGGGAGGTCTGAATGTGTTCCAACACGTGCCCCTGGTGTCTCTGCATGGCTGGGGCGGGCTCCTGTCTTCACTTTGAGGGGAAGGCAAAGGCCAGCACTGGGGCTAGCACAGGAGAAGGCAGGAAAGGCACCGCTAGACTCAAGGAGACGCTGAGGCTGCAGTGTCCCACCTGAGGATACGGGACTACAGGCAGCTCCGGGAAGGCGGAGAAGTGATAACTAGTGTATCAGGGCCACTGGAGAAACAAGGTAGGGGTGACTGTGTATCATGTCTTTGGAGAAGTAAGGCAGAGGGTCAGTCTGAATATGTATCCTCCGGAGGAAAAAGGCAGCCGGACGGCCCCTGTGCATGTCCACTGGAGAAATGTGGTAGGTCATCTGCGTATTGTCCATAAGAAATAAGGCAGCAGAATGACTCGGGAGTCATGTCCATTGGAGAAATGAGGCTGCGGGTGGTCTACGTGTCACATCTTTTGCAGAATGAGTAGACCCACCCAGGGTGGGAGCCACCTGTTGGGGGCAGGGAAGCCGCCACTCAGTGCTCACACTGAGGTCCCAGTGCAACCAGAGGTGGGAGCCCAGGGCAGGGGCAGCAGCGCCCTGGTCCTCGTAGTCAGGCTATCTCTTGTCCGTCACCTGCATTTCATGATCAGAAGAAAAAAGGAGAGAAAAGCATTAAGTGCAAGAGTTCTACTCTTGGGAGTATGCCAGAACCCCAGGCACATGGTAATACACTTCAGGATAGGGAGTGACCATGAGTGGGCCCAAAAGTCCGCCCTGCCCTGAGGCCCAAAAGACATAAATACAGGAACTGGGAGTCAACCAGACCACAGGGGCACCTGAGGGAGGCTGCCCAATGCTCACCAGCCCTTGTCACTCCCCATGGGTCTACTCACCCCAAACGCTTCCCTCCCACCAGCCCTCTGCCTGGCCTACTTGCTTCCTCTGTCAGTAAACCCTCTCCAACTTCCCTTTGCCACAGATTTCCCCAGCAGCCATGCTGTGGGGAGCCGCCTTCCCCAGCGCTTTGTGTCCACCTAGACGGTATGCTACAGATGCACAGCCCTGGCCTCACCCCTCGCTGGCCTGAATGGAGAGTTTAGAAGGAAGACTGGGGCATGTGTGACCCCGCCCTTCCCTCTCCCATCCTTTGGGGGCCTGTCTGTCGGGAAAGAAGCTCTCCCTCTTGGGGCCTGCCCCTGTGCTTGCGCAACAAGTCCAGGGCCTGGGGCCCAGAGGAAAGCTAAACACAGGGAAGAACACCCACGAATCCCTAACAGGGACACCAAGGTGACCTGAAAAAGACTTAAGGTTCCATAACGTTTGGCACCCAAACTTGATTTTCTAAGTGGAAGCCACTCAGGTCTAGTGGCAATATTCTGCATCATGGAATTATCTTTTTCAATACACACACAGAAATGCACACAGACATGCACATATTGATATACAAACAGACATACGTAGATGTGGCTGTTGCTTACTTTTGAAAGAATCTCAAACCTCCAGCCAACCATTTCCTAATGTAACTGCTTGCTATAATTATATGAATACTAATATTTGTTAACTTTTACTAACTACCTAAGTAACAGGTGTATGCCCAGCTGAAAACCACATTCCCTTGTCTCACTTGAGTTAGGAATCATGGGATAGGTTCTGACCAATGGGATGTGAACAGAAGTGCCCTGAGCTACTTCTAGTCAAGCCCTAGAAAAAACTGGGCCTCCCTTTCTTCTTTCCCCGCTGCTTCAGGCATGGGGGGCGTCGGGGGCGCAGGCACTGGAACAACCATGTTAGACTTGAGGACAGAAGCTTCAAGTTGAAGGGGGAGAAACCAGGTGAATGGAAGCTGGCTCCAGGACACGAGCAGCCTTAAGATCACCTGTGCTTACACTTTTACAGGAAAGAGAAATGAGCTCTTGTCCTGGTTAAACCTGCCATGTTTGTGTCCTAGCAGAGCAGCCGGGATCTTGGTTTACTCTGCCCTTGGCCACTTCACTGGGGGGATGCAGGCTGCTCTTCTGGCGAGCAGACCACCAGTGAGGGATGATAATTACTTCCCCATAATCCTCCCCACCTCCTACACACAGGTGCACAAACACACAATCTCCAGCACCACATGTCATTACCTTCTTTGTTTTCAGAGTGTTTCAGAGGCCGCAGGACTGTAAAAAAGGAAGGAGTACATGGTGAGGGGGGAACTGTGGGAAGGTTGGGGAGAGAAAGAGGAGCTGAGGAAGGGAGGGTGAGAAGGACTGGAAGGAGGAGGAGGAGGCAGGTGAGTGGGGACAACATCACAGCACCAGCGAAGGGGCCCTAGGCTGCTACCCCAAGTCCCAGCTCCATGCTGCGGCTTCCCGCTCCCCTCTCTGGGCCTCAGTCTTCTGCATCTACAGAATGAGACAACCTACCCTGCCCCCCAGCAAGCCAGCGATGTGGGTGTGCACTGGGTCAGTTCCACTAACACAGTGAAGTAAGAAGCTAAAGGGGCTGCCGATGTCCCCACATGGCCCTGAGATAGTGGGGAACTGACACTGACCAAATCTCTAAGCCACCCACTCCTCCGCACTCCCTCCCTTCTGTCAACTACAGCTGAAAAAAAGGAGGCCTGATCCCAGGGCTGTCTCCACATTCACACACCAAAGGCAGAGAATCAACTGGCATAATTCACAGCAGTCCCAGGTGTGAATCTCCTGCCCTTCCTTCTGCAGCTGTAGGGAGGGAACCGGTGTCAACTGGCACCGCCCCGAACTGCTCAGCAGACACCTGCCTCTCCCAGCCCAGAAGCCAGAAGGGAACATGGTGAGGCCACCATGGCCACAGGACACCAGTGCCTCAGCACCTGTTCCCCACTGGGCTCCCAGTTTGTGTCCCCGCAGCATCGTGACTTTTGCAAAGTCTTTTCCTATCCAGTCACTCCAGAGAGCTTCAAGACAAGTCTTTGGTGCCAAGTCTTTGGGGCAGGGACAGGATGACATTTTCCAGATGGAGAACCGAAGCCCAGAAGAGCAAAGCACTTTGACCAGAGTTACCTCAGCTCTAACCAGACTGGGACTCTCTTAAACCATCTGCCTAGTAATAGGACTCCAAGGTATTTACTAGGCACCAGGTATGATGGGAGGCTGTTATAAACATTACCTCATCTAGTTAAACCTACTCAACCGGTGAAGACAGGCAGTTATTGTGAGGAAACAGGCCCAGAGAAGCAAAGTAACTGCCTTTAGGCCACCCAGCTTGTATGAGCAGGGTGGCCTAAAGGTACTGAACTGAACTGAACTGGACTGGACTGAAACTGAAACCAAGGTTGCCCTGTTTCCTGAGCCCTCACTCCTCCCCTAGGAAGGCACCAGACTCCAAAGTGCAGGGTCCCTAGGGGTGGAGACAGCTGGCAGATGGGGAAAGATGAGCAGGAGAAGTGAAGCAGCCCCTGGGGAGGAATCACGGGAGACCCACCTCCAGGCCTAACGCTCAGTAGAGACCAAACTCAGCCAGGTAGGGAGGCCTCAGTCCACCGGCCATACTGTGTTCAACCTCAAGCAGATGTGGCTCCCCCAGGTCCTGGACTCCTCTCCCACGTCCCCGTGTCCTTCTCTCAGCCAGTAAAGCCAGCTCCAAGTTTAGACTTACCAGTCTTAGATCCTTCTCCATCTCCATCCTGGTCCTCAGCTCCTGGAAGAGCAAACAAAACCTTCCTCAGCTCCATTTTCATCACTGCACTTTCCCACCGGGGGGCACAGGAAGCTGGTAAATGGGAAGCAGGCAAGCAGCTGGGGCACAAATAGCACAGAGCGGAGCCCTGGGGCCGGATGAAGGGGCTCCCAGCCTGGGGTCCACCATTCGACGAGCCAAGGACCGGCTCCTTGCTGTCACCCATCCGCCGACCCCGTCACCCCACCCGTCCACTCGCTCACCAATCCAGTCAACTACCACCCTCCAACCTGGACAGCCACCCATCTATCAGTCCACTCATCCTTCCACCTGCCCAGCCAGGCACTGCTGCTCAGGCGTCGCCTGTTAACTGACCAGACTCCTCCCCGTTCACATATGCACTGTACCCAGTCATCTCTGACCTCTCACCACCCTCTTACAGGTTTCTCCAAGAAAACCTCTGTTAACCCGTGTACCATCCACCAGGGCAACTCACCCACTAACCAACGTCCACTCTCTCGCCCACCACTCGCCAGAGTCAGCTTACTCACCTACCAAGGTCAAGTCACCCACCTCCTGATAACAGCTCCCCGCAACCTGCCACTCACCGAAGTCAGCTCATACTGACCCCGGCCCAGCAAATGGCAGGCGCACCTTCACACAGCGATCCCAGACCCATAAAGCATTCACACGTGTGCCAGATTTCCTGTTCTAAACCTGCACTCTCACTCAGAGACACACCCATGGGACTTACACTCTCACAGTCACACTTGTTTGCACAGACATATTCGTCGCCTCCTCACATTCAGCCTTGCACGTCCACCACTCACTTCCAGTCACACTCATATGCACACTCATCCTGCCATATTTGCACACTCACAGGCTCACACTTGTTTACACACACAGCACACATTCAGCTTCAAGGTAACACACATACAATCTAGTCCCACTAGCAAACCCATCCATACCCTTTCTGTCACTGGAAAGTGACATTCTCAGATCGATGTCACGGATGTATCAACATACCCAAAGACATGTGCACGCCCATTTGCGCCCCCCCACCTGCATTCTCCTCTTCACAGCTCTGTTTGATCTTTCTCCAGCACACGAAGGCCAGGGCCACCAGCAGCGCAACAAGACAGATCGAGAGTCCCACGGTCACCCACAGGGCCTCAGGGGGGAATGACATGGGCTGTCCTGGGAGAGGCAGAGGAGAGAATGGGGAGAAATCATCGTCTCTGGCCCCACCAGCCATGAGAACAGCACCCTCTGGCTTCAAGGTGTGAATGTGGGGTTTCCACCCTTCCTGAGCCCCAGCACTACGCAGAGTTCGCATGCCCCTTCCCCCGCATCCACACACCCTCTAAAGTCTGACACAGACATGGCTGGTATAGACATGCCTCAACCTGGCACAGTTGAAGAGTCTGCAGTTGATGCTCAAGAACCTTCTATGACTTCCTGCTGCCATGAGAATAACACTTCAATCTTTTTAGGATGATTCAAGAAACTCAATAATCTAGCTGCCACTTAGCCTCCCCTAGCCTTTGTATCTAATTTCACTATAGGAACCTCTGCTCCAGCCAAACTGGGGTCCTGACCATTCTCTGAGAAGACAACTGGCCCCCTCCAGCTTCCACACATTGCTGTCAGTTTCCTCTCCCTAAAAGTGCTCCCAAGATCTTCACCTAGCTTAAGCCCACCTCCTCAGGGGGCCCTCCCTGACTATCCCAGCCCTACCTGGTGATAGTCCCTACCCTACGGATCAGGAGTCTGCAAACTAAGGCCTGACAGCTAAATCTGGCCTGCAGCCTGTGTTTGTATAAGTTCATGAGCTAATAGCGGTTTTTTCATTTGTAAAATGCTACCAAAAAGTGGAAAAGGAGGGCCCTGATGGGTGTGGCTCAGTTGGTTGGGTGTTTCAGTTGTGGGTTCAATTCCTGGTCAGGGCACATGCCTAGGTTACGGGTTTAGTCCTCGGCCGGGGTGCGTATGGGAGGCAGCCAATCGATGTTTCTCTCTCACATGGATATTTCTCTCACTCTCTTTCTCCCTCCCTTCCCCTCTCTAAAATCAGTAAGCATGTCCTCAGGTGAGGATTTAAAAAACAAAAAACAAAACAAAACAAAAAAAACGGAAAAGGAGGAACAGAAGGAAATTAAAAAAGCGGCAGCAGCAAGAGATGCTGTGTGCCCCACAAAGCCTAAGGTTTACTATCCAGCCCTTTATAGAAAGCGTTTGCAGACCATGCATATTGATGAAGGTGGGCAGTGAGGGCACCAGAGTGAGGAGACTTGCCAGGGGCATGTTTCCGTGAAACTCTGAGGGCCCTTCTGTCCACTGCGCCACGGCAGACAGAAGGAGCTGAGTGCCGACAGCTGGGGCAGGGCCAGCAGCTGTTCTAAGCACGGCATCTAGCCCAGTTCCTGGACCCCTGCTGCAACGTGGGCAGAGGCCTTAGGGACAGCAAATCTAACCAAAGACAGCGCTGCTTTCCTGTGCTCTCTGGAGACCACGAGTACCCGGGGCATCAGCAGAAGTAGAAGGCGACGGCTGCGCCAAGGGCAGTGAGGCTCTGGCATAGACATGGGCATTTGCAGCAGATGTCACCTTCAGCTGGCATGGTTGGCAAAGCTGCTTCTCTGGACATTGGAAGCAAAGGGGCCCATCACCCCAGTAAGCAGGAGAGGAAGAGAGCAGCTGATGTGAAGGGTCAGGAGGGCCAGTCCATGAAGCAGGTGGGAGAAACCCCTGGGAGCCCCAGGGAGGGGCTCCTGCAGCAATGGCAGAGCAGAGCCAAGGGCATACCCACAGGGGGACAGGCTCTCTTCCTGTGTACCCCCGAGGCTGGTGCCTGGAACACAGGTCGGACTTGCCCTCATCCAACCAGTCAAGGACAGGGCAGGGCTCAGAGTGGTACCTTCAGGCTCCATGGCCAGTGCCTGCTCCACAAAGCCGCCTCCACATAGCACCCTCAGCTTCACTCCAGCGGGTGCAGGGAAGGGGAGAGACTAGGCTGGAGGATCCAAAGTCTGAATCTCAGAATATTTTACAAGGCACAAAGCTGCCCGAAGCAAAATACAGGCCAAGGGCTCCAAAGTAGGCCAGATCTGCTCTAACAAAAACCGGAGGCTGGGTGGTGGGGAGGAGAAAAATTAGACTGAGAGGCTAAGAGTTCAAGTGTGGTCACGGTCCATCTGCTCGCTGCAGGCTGCTGGGATCAAACCCACAGGCTCCCATGTATGAGTTTAGAGGGGCCACACACCCTCAAAATTTAAATGCATACTACTGCATTTATCATTTATCTGAGTTCCAAAGAGGTGCCTGACCCCCAGCAGAGCCAAAGCGTCAGAGCCAGTCTATGGCCTTGGGAAAGCTCTCCCTCCTCTCAGGGCTTCGGCTTCCTCATCTGTGAAACCACGGCAATTTAAATGTTAGTTACTAAAGTTTAAAGTAAAGATTTTTGTCTTTGGTGGGGTAAACGTTCTCCCTGCAATTACATTTACACTGACAAGTCCTTCCTGTACAGTGTGGCAAAGATCCAGTTCAGCCCAGTGTGCAAATTACCAGGATCCTTCAAGGTCCCATCAACTCCCACCTGTCCCTGGAAAATTCTCTTGACCACTCCACTATCTGATAGCTTTTATTCTCTCCTGCTAACACACCAGACAACATGCTGCTCTCTAAAAGGTCAAGGAGACCCCTTAGAACATCCCAAAGCTTAGGGCAGTGACTTCCCCATAAAGAGCTCTGGGGGGGGGGGTCCTCCAGGAACAGGTGGGGTCAATCTTGGGAATGGGGTGGGCAGAAGGAACACAGCCTTGCCAGAAGGAAACACCTAAAAGAGAAGAAGGAATGAATCTTAATGCTTAGGAGGTAAGTGAAGGCTTTGTAAGGGCTGGGTACACTTGGGAGGAGAAGAAAATCAGGAATAAGTCAGTGAATTCTGAGGCTTATGCAGAAGCTGGGGGCAAGGTGCAGGCTGGGACATGGGTGGGCTGGGGGATTGGGTGGGATGGGAAGAGAAAACAGGATAAACCTGCTGTCCTGACCCCAGGGTACATTGGGAGGCCCCTGGGAAAGGTCAGTTGGCCCAGAGGGAGGGACTGAGGAGCCAGAATGAGACCCAAACACAGAGGGAGACTGCCCCCCTTAGCGCGAGTGTTGGCCTGAGCCTGCTTCCTATCTCCAGGCACAAGGGAAGCCCACTAAAGTACGCACTCAGGAAAGGAAATGGTGTCTAGCCTAGGACCCCCAAACCAGAGATTGTGGCGTCAATCTAGGACTTGACCACATGGGAGCAGCAGAGAGAGCCCCAGCCATTCCAGCTGAAGCGACGGGCTGCCAGGGGCTGACCGCTCATAGAGGCCCAGTGGGCTCCCAGGGCCTCAGAATCAGATGGCGCCCATGGACTCAACGAAGCCTTCCCATCACCCAGAGAGGTTCTCACAGGAAAACCCTCCCTCACCAGGTCCTGGGGCCGTGCCTTGGGGCTGCCCCAGAACTCCCGCCCACACCTCAGATTCCAGGCAGGTCCTTGGTTCCCCGCATAAGAAGCTCAAGTGCTACCTAAGATGCTCCCAGTAGAGCAAATATTACAAATGTCTCTTATCAGCTCATTAAGGCAAGTCCCTTAAGGACTTCTTTGTGGAGAGTTTGACACCTGAAATACATGAAAAAGGTTTTTCAAATCTTCTGAGCACCCAAACCTACCTAAATTCCAGCCCAGGGTCTAAAAAGGGGGGTGGTCCCCTCCCGCCTCCCAGGGGTTTGCCCCCTACCTGTGACAGCGACAGAGCCGTGAGCGTCCTGCTGCAGCACGGGGTTGCGCACCAGGCAGCTGTAGGTGCCATTAGCACCCAGCACCACCCTCAGGACACTGAGCACATCAAACAGACCCTGCTCATTGGCCATCTGCGACGTGGTCACATTGCCCGCCAGAGGCACACCCTGCCCATCCTGCCAGAACACCTCGGCCTCAGGGTAGCCCCGGGAGCTGGAGCACGCGATGGTCACCGTGTCCCCAGGCCGCAGGTCCTTGTTGGGCTCCAGGGTCATGCTGGGCTTTGAGTAGGGAGCTGGAGGGGGACAAAGGGTAAAGGACAAGGTAAGGCAAGGGCAGATGGGGCACAGTGAAGGAGCAGGGCGCCCAGGGCCGTGAGTACCGGGGTCAGCATCAGGCAGTGGTTAAGGGGCTAGGGAGCGAGAGGGGTGTGCTGGGGTGGGGTGCCCCTTCCGGTGCTCACCTGCCACCTGCAGGCTGACCGCAGCACTGCCAAAGTCCCGGATGCTCACGAAACAGGTGAAGCTGCCCTCATCAGCCACACGCACGCGCTGAAGCCTCAGGGACGCGTTGCCCTCTGCCAGCAGGTCGGGGAAGAGGGCGGTGCGGTTGGCATAAGCGCTGCCCTGGTCCTGGCCCTGCGTGAAGCTGTGCACCAGCTGTTTGGTGTCTGTCAGCTGCCAGATGAGGTTGAGCTGCGCCAGGCTGAAGCCAGGCTCGGGTGAGAAGGAGCAGCGCAGGGTGGTGTCTGTGCCCACCAGGGCCACCACGGGGTTTTCAGGGACCAGGACCTCCAAGGCAGTGCCTGGGGGCAGAGTCAATGGGGTGGGGCTGTCAGAAGGGGCAGAGGCACTCTGGGCCTCCCTAGTCCCCTTCTCCTGGGTTAACTCCAAGCCCCATCCACCTGGCTTTTGAGGCCTGAGACCTAAAGTAAGTTTATTGGCTGCAGTCCTTGCTCAGTCAGTAAGCACCTACTATTTGCCAAGTGTAAGGGTTAGGGATGCAAGACAATAGGACCAAAGTCACACCTCTTCAGAGCTCACAGGGAGAAGAGGAACATACAAGCACACAAATTCTTATTAGCATGTGATTAGGGATAGAAAGGAAGAAAACATACCTGAATGGATTAGAAAGTAAGGTGGTAGATTTTCAACACCTGGCAGGTATTGAACACCTGTCTCTGCTGGCTTCGTTTTCCCATAAGTATATATTATCTTTATAAATCAGAAAGTGAAGTCTTAAAAAAGTATGCACTGAAATGTTAATAGTGGACTTCCATGAATGAGAAAGGATTACAGCGCTTTTTCTTTCTTCTTTTCTTAAATAAACACAATTAGCTTTTATACAAGAAAGAAAGAATGCCCATACCTTTAAATGTGGTTGTGAGGCATATTCTAAGAACTATTGAGCTAAGATTTAAAGGGAATGAAAAAGAGCCCGACACACCAGAGCCCCACTAAAGCAATCCAGTTCCACAGGGTCGGCCGCTGCACAACGGGTCCTCCACTAGAGTCACAGCCTGACGGTCAATCCTCCCACTGACATGCCAACAGCAATCAAGGCTCAACTTCCACAGGAGGGCACACACAATCCACGCCTGGAGCACCTGGCTCAGGTGAACACAGAGACTGAGACACTGGGCCCCACAGGACACCTACTACATTAGGCCACTCTACCAAGGTGGGGAGTCATAGCAGATCTACCTAATAAATAGAAACACACACAGGGAGGCAGCCAAGATGAGGATACAAAAAAAAAAAAAAAAAATGTCCAAAATTAAATAGCAGAAAAAAACTCCGGAAAAAGAACTAAACAAAATGGAGAAAAACAGATGCAAAGTTCAAAACACTGGTTGTAAGGATGCTCAATGATTTCAGTGAGAACTTCAACAAAGAGATAGAAAGTATAAAAATAAAGATAGAAAATATAAAACAGAACCAGTTAGAAATGAAAAATACATTAAAGGGAATCAAAAGGAGAGTGGATGAAGCAGAGGATCAAATCAACGATTTAGAAGACAAGGTAGCAGAACACACCCAATCAGAACAGTGAAAAGAAAAACGAATCCAAAGAAATGAGGATACTTTAAGGGGCCTCTGGAACAACATCAAGCATATCACCCTCTGTAGCATAGGTGTACCAGAAGGAAAAGAGAAAGGGCAGAAATTGAAAACCTATTTGAAGAAATAATAATGAAAACTTCCCTAACCTGGTGCAGGAAATAGACATACAAGCCCAGGAAGCACAGAGTCCCAAACAAGATGAACCCAGAGACACCCATATCAAAACACGACATAATTAAAATGCCAAAGGTTAAAGACTAAGAGAATCTTAAAAGCAGCAAGAGAATAGCAGTTAGTTACCTACAAGGGCACTCCCATAAAACTGTCAGATGATTTCTCAACAGAGACTTTGCAGGCCAGAAGGGGTTGACACAAAATATCAATGTGATAAAAACCAAGGACCTACAACCAAGATGACTCTACCCAGCAAAGCTACCATTTAGAGTCAAAGGGCAGATAAAGAGCTTTCCAGACAAGAACAGCTAAAGTTCATCACACACATCCAGTATTACATAAAATGTTACAGGGTCTTCTTTAAGGAAAAAAAGAAGATTAAAAAACGAGTAATAACATGGCAATAACTACATATCTATCAACAACTACTTTAAATGTAAATGGATTAAATGCTCCAATGAAAAAACATAGGGTGGCTGAATGGACAGCAAAACAAGATCCTTACATGTGCTGCCTACAAGAAACTTACTCCAGATCAAAAGACACCCACAGACTGAAAATAAAGGGATGGAAAAAGATATTTCATGAAAATGGAAATTAAAAAGCTGGGGTAACAATACTTACACCAGACAAAAGAGACTTTAAAACAAAGGCTATAAGAGATAAACAAGGACCTAGCAATTCCACGTTGGGGTATTTCTCCAAAGAAACCCAAAACACGAAATTGAAGAGATATATGCACCCCTATGTTCATTGCAGCATTATTTTCAATAGCCAAGATATGGAAACAACCTAAGTATCCATCAACTGATGAATGGATAAAGAGGTGGTACATATGTACAATGGAATATGACAGCCATAAAAGAGAATGAAATTTTACTGTTCCTAACAGCATGGATGGACCTAGAGGGTGTATGCCATGGGTCAGACAGAGTGAAGTGGGTCAGACAGAGAAAGAAAAATACCATATGATTTCACTTATGTGTGGAATCCAAAAAGCAAATAAATGAATAAACAAAATACAAACAGATAGACAGATACACAGAGCATTTTGATGGTTCCTAGATGATAGGTGGCTTTGGGAGACTGGGAGTAAAAGGAGAAGGTATTAAGAAGTGTAAATTGGTAGTTACAGAATAGTCATGGTGACATCAAATACAGCATAGGGAATATAGTCAGTAATATTGCAATAATTTTATGGTATTAGAAGGGTACTAGATTTATTGGGGTGATCACTTCCTAAGTTCTATGTCTAATTACTTGTTGTACACCTGAAACTAATATAATATTATATGTCAACTATAATTGAAAAATAAAAAAAATATTTAAAAAAATAAAATTTTTAAAAAGAAAAAGAGCCTGACACACAAAGAGCCAGGGCGAGAGTTCCACGTGGAGGCAGCAGTGGGCCGGAAGGCCCTGAGTCGAGCTCCACCTCGCTAGGCAACAAAGTCAGGAAGCCGGCAGTGCGGCCAAAGCACCTGAGTGGGAGAGCTTTGTGAGATCGGTGAGGAATTTAGGGTTTTCTATGTGGAATGGGAAGTCATTTGGGGGGATCCAATCAGGCATTATCTGGGTAACAGTGCTTAGAACTCACTCTGGCTCCTCTGAGGAGAATGGATTAGGAGGCCATTTCAGTGGTCCCTGTAAGAAGTGAGGATGGTTTAGTTTCAGAGGGTGGCAGTGGCGATGGAGAGAAAGAAATAGATTCAAAGTTTGTTTAGGAGGGATCATGAATAGGGCTTGCTGATGGATGCGAGGAGAGGGGACCACGGGAGCACAGACCCCAGCAGCCCGGGTCAACTCCATCCCCAGGGGCAGGGCAGGGAACAGCCAGGGCAAAACCCCTACTCCCCCCGGCCGCCACCCTCTGGATTTACCCTGTAGTCCCCCCATTCCATCACCTCTGCCTCCATTCCAGCTCTTCTTTTAGAGCCCTGGAAACTTAGGGAGGGGTCCCCAATTATCTTTCTTTTAGGGAGGTGTGCCCCTTACCTTGGCATCGCCATTCTTGGCTACTACATTGGGCGCGTGCTTTGGATACCAGTAAAGCAGGCACACTCAAAAAGTGTGAAAATTTGTTTTAACACAAAATTTACTGAATACAGAACTAATAAAGATTTCTTGAATTTAGAAAAATAACATCTTATGGTAGTATTTTTATCATACATTACCCACGGGGCACAGGGGTGGTTATCATAATCTTTGCAGTGCACTGAGATATCTAAAGGTCTTACGCTGGCCCTGGATCTCTCCCTGCAACCCCAGGTGCCCCAAGTCAGCTCTGCAGCTGGAGACCAATTGGACCAAGGTGTCCCTTTTAGGGGTATTTGGGGAATGAAACCCGAAGTCCTTTCTCTAGCAGGGGTGTCCAACCCTTGGCACGTGGGCCGCATGTGGCCCAGGATGGCTATGAATGCAGCCCAACACAAAGTCATAAATTTACTTAAAACCTTTTTTTTTTTTTTTTTTTTTTTGCTCATTGGTTTTCGTTAGTGTTTGTGTATTTAATGTGTGGCCTGAGACAACTCTTCTTGCGGTGTGGCCCAGAGACGCTGGAAGGTTGGACACCTAGAGAAATAGGAGCAGCAGTGAATAGAGATGCTTCCTCTTCGTGACCACGAGATGGCGCCAGACACTGAACTTTGTCTTTCCCCGTGGAGGAAAAAGGTACAGATTAGGCTCTGAAACATAAAGTGAGAATATTGTGATCAAAGTAGTTGCCATTGTCGAATGCCAACTCTGTACCAAGCACTGTGTGGGAAGATTCACATCACTTATTCAATGTGGTGACTGAGCACCTATTATGCAGCTGGCACCAATCCTGTTCTCTGAACAGAGAAAGCGGTAAGAAAGGAAATGTACAATATGTCAAGTAGAGACAAACGCTGGAAGAAGCATGAGGTAAGGTCAGGGATGGGGAGGGATGTGTTATTTTATACAAGGTAGCCAGGAAAGCCTTGCTGAGGAGGTAACACTTGACATATTAGTGCTTACAATGCTATTTTATAGAAGAAGAAGTGGAGGCTAAGAAATGTAAAATGAGTTGCCTGTTGGATCCTGGAGGTGGAAGTGAGCATGGACAGGGTGCAGGGGAGAGTGGGAAGAGCTTTGCCAAACCCTTCCAATGCCCGTTAGACAGAGAGGCTCCACAGGACCCCCTGTGGGATTACGATCCCCTCCCCCACCTCCAGCCCACCCTGGTACCGCAGCCCTCACCTGTGAGGCAGAACCACAGCACTCCTAGGGCAGTGGCCACATGCACACCTGTGCCAGGACTGCCCATCTTCCTCTGAGGCAACTGACAGCTGGGCTCTCGGTGGCGGAAAGCTGTCCCTGCCTGTGAGGAAGAGGAAGTGAGCCTTTGTCTCAAAAGGTCCTCCCCAGGCACACTTGACTCATCTCCCCTGGACCATCTTGGGGCCAGGTTGCAACTGCCAGCTGGGATGTCCTTCCTCCCACACACCCACAAAGCTCCTCCCTGCTGAGGGAATTTTTGAGAGATTCTGGTAGGAGGGAACTGAATCACCCGGGAGGCTAAACCGGGGGAGGTGGCTGTGACCCACCGTTTCAGAACAGAAACTATATCTTTCAATATAAGGAGGAGAAGGCAAGTAGAGGCAAGAACAGCCAGCTCAGCACAAGGTTGTGTTCAGATGGGTTTGGGGAGGAGGAGCTGAGGCTGGAGCCAGACTTAGACATAAACAAAGAGGTCTGGCCTTTACCCTGAAGGCAGCTGGGAGCCACCAAAGATTCTGGAATTGGGGAAAGGATGTGGTCTGAGCTGGGCTTCATAAAGATTGGTCTGAAGACATCTGCAAGATAAGTGAGACAAGCTAGACAGAGGAGATGGAGAAGGTCTGGGTGAAAGGGCCATGACTGGAAGATGTCGGGTCAGAGGAAGGGAGCAGTCAGGGGTCCACCGTTTTGTGCCCAGTGACCAGGTAGGGTGCTCACTGAGACAGAGAACAGGGAAGGGTTCAGTACAGGGCATGTGAAGTTATTAGCACAGTTTGTGTAGTAACTTCCAGGGGCAAGTTCGAGAAGGCAGCTGAGGGTGTGAGTGTGGGGCCCAGAGAGAGGGAACATTTGCCGGTTTAATACATATAGATTGAGTTAGTAAGATGCATCGGAAATGGAAGAGGCCAGGCCTGGGGCTGACCCCCAAGGCTGGAGTGAGGACTGAGTGAGAGGTAGGTCTGCGGCCTCAGGTCAGACCTCAGCAGGGGGCCCAGACCCGCCCCCCCCCCCCCATCTGTGATAAGGCAGTTAGGTGGACAACAGCAGAGCAAGGAGATGGGCCAGGTACATGCTACCACAGTGGGAAGCCCCAGATGTCTAGCAACTGGCAAAACGGGGAAACCAGGGATTTTGCCTCTAGGGTGACCTTTTCTCCCCTAGCATATCACTGGTCATACAGCTCAGACCCTCCCCTGACCTTTCCTCCCTAGGCATGTCACTGGTCATGCCGTAGACCCCCATGGAGGAGGACACAAGGGGCCGAAGAGTGGTCTCATGTGACTCCCATTTGTGCCCCTGTGCAACCACTCCCTTCAGCATTGGCCCCCAGGGATAACATCCAGACCCTCCTTTGTGTTTCAGTTCCAAGCCCAGAAAAGCAGAAAAACCAGACAAGCGATGCCATGGCTGCCTCAGCACCAGCTGAGATGACTAAGGACCCCCCTGGCGCCACCCAATCAGTGGAGACCAGGACCCTGAAAGGACACGCCTGGAAAGCTGATGAATATTCTGTTGAGATCCTCCCCTAAAATCTCTATCCTTAAAATCCCTTAGGACAGAGGACCCAGTGCAAGCACACCTGTGCCTTTCCCTTGCCCCTCATCTCCCTCCGCCAGGTGTGTTACCTTTACATTTCTCTCTCCTAAGCTCCAAAGGCCCTCCTTTTGCCTGTGAAACTTGTTTCCTGAGCTCATTCCTTCTACAGCTCACTTCTTCTACCTCTGTGAATTTCTAAACAAACTTTATAGTTTCAGTCTTGTCTCTGAATTCTTTCTCAGTCAGAACTCAATGACTGAGGTTTTTTTTAACCAAGTTCCAGTTTGCCTCCACCGGTCTAACACCAGGTGCCCAAGGTGTCTGACTTGGGCAGGCTGCTGGAACCTTTTCCCTGTGTTCCACAGCTGCTGCCTGATTGTTCATGCCAAGACACATAGACAGTGTCGATTTATACTATCCGACATTGAATTGACAAGCCTATAAATGATTTCACATTCTCCTAACCCCAGGGGGAGACAGGCTGAACTATTTGATCCCATTTTGTAAGAGAGAGAGAGAGGAAAAAAACCCCTGAAGCCCAGATAAGTGAAATGACAGCATACTGTGATGTAATTTGCCAGTTAGCACAGTTGAGAAGTATTTGAGTTCCCAGCCACATCTTTCTGCCCTTCCACAGAGCAAAACTCTACAGCCGTTAGCATCAGTTCCAGCCACAGGCAGAGGGCCTCAACCCTTCTAATCCCAGCCAAGCCTACACCAGGCCCCCACACACCCAGAAGCTGGGCTGAGGGAGTCCCTCACCCCCAGTGGGTGCATCCTGCCAGCCCCGTCCCAGCTGTCTGCAGTGGGGAAGCCCTGAGCAGCCGCTTCCTTCCCAGATGCTTCCGGTCCAAACCTGATGACCAGAGCCTCACCAACTGCTGAGTCAGCAGCCTTCCGCTCCATTCATAAAGCATCCTTGGCAAGCACCACATCCTGCCATAGGGCTGCGGTGGCCCACAGGAAAAGCTAGTGGCCTGCCATTGCCTGCCTGTCCCCCAAGGAAGCACCCAGGGCTAAGGATTAAGAAGCTCCTAGATTCCAAGCTTTATCCCCAGAAAATCCAAGGCCTGTCTGCTCCTGGGCCCTTCACTCTCTCCCTGCTGCTCATGTCTACCGTCTCCCATCCTGACCCTCCCAACGCCCTCCTCACTGGCCCTGCTAATCTCCACTCTGTCCCCATGGGTAACCCCATTCTCTACAATGCCTCATCTAGGACCAAAGACACGAACCTGCTCACATCCTTGCTCCTGCTCAAGAGCCTCCCATGGCTCCCCTTTTACTACTGAAGTTAACCCACAGTCCCCTGCCCAGTGCTCAAGACCTTTCTTAATGACTATCGCTTCCATACATCAAGGTAATTCCTGCCACTGGGATTTTACTCCCTGAGGTCTCTTGGGAATGCCTGCCACCTCAGTGAATGTGGGGGATCAGGGAGCACTCTCTCCTGATCAGACCTACCCCGGCTCTCCAGGGCCCAAGCTCTCCTTTCCTCCAGTGGAATAATGAGGGAGGCCCCAGGGGTGGGTGTTGGGCTTGCTTCCTTTTACTCCTTTCCTAGACTCTGGACCCAGGAAATGTCCCACCTTTGTGGCTTACCCTGGGGAGAAGCCTGACAGCTCAGAACTGAGGAGACCTGAGAATTCCACAGCACCCAGTGGCTCTATCACAACAGCTGGGCACCCAAGAGCAGAGGGCGGAAAGGAAAAACACACCTGGGAGATGAGGCACTGCTCAGTGTGTAGGAGCCTGCCTGGGAACAGAAAACCAATCACTGTCCCCGGGGACAGATGAGCTACCAGTCCCGTACACAGAGCCTAGACCAAGGACCTGAGACTGCAGGTATCTGCACCACCCTTCCCTTTTTCTCTAATAAGGGGAATTCTCACCCCCAGGCGGACCAGCCATGCAGTCGGCGTGTGCCTCCCCTCCCAGTGAGTCACCAGCCAGCCGTTCCCTCTCCTCCTCCTCCTCCTCCTCCACTTCCTCCTCATCCTTTTCCTTCCCCCTCTGCTGTCCCAGTCCTGGCTGAAAGTGGGAACTCCAAGGAGCTCTGCCAGGAAAGAATGGAGTGCCTGGGATCTCCGAAAGAAGCAGGAGTGAGGGACCCAGGCCACCTATAGCCTGTGAGTGCAGCAGGCCTACTTGTCCCCCAACCCCAAACCCAACAGAGGTGGAGCCACAGGGAGGCTCCTGAGCAGTGATCCAAGATGTGACTCCAAGAGCTAAGACTGAACTCTATACCAAGATGCCTCAGGGGTGGAGGGGCCCTAGAGGGACTCCTTGCCCTCACCATGGCTACCAGCAGCAGCCCATATTCTCCTGTGTCCTCCCAATCCCTGCAGGGGCTGCTTGGCCAATACTTCCCACAGAGAAGGCAAGAAGTGTCAAGCCATATAGGCAGTGTCAATGTATGCTAACCAGCAGAGCACAGAAGCACCACTTCTGAAAATAGCAGTTAAGCCCCTGGATACATCTATGCCTAAGGCAAGCTGCACGTCTAGACTGCCCAGGTACTTCAGCCAGTCTTTTTCCTGCCTGCCTCCCAAGCCAGTGTGAGCTAAGTTTCTGTAACTGGCACCTGAAGAAGTCCTTGAATATACATTTATTCATGTACTCAGTAATGCACTTAACAATTAGGCAGGTACTGGGAATAGAGAGATGACTGCGTTCCAACGGGAAAGGTGTGCATGCACAGAAATCATCGCCGTTCAGTATAGTGTACTACTTAATGATGCAGTGAGGGCCACTCAAAGGCACCTCAGAGACCTGACAACTCAGAGCCCTGAAAAATGATTAGCGCTTCCTAGGTAGACAGACTGGGAAAGGTGGCCCCTCCTCGGTCCCAGTCCTCCTGGCACTGCCTATCTGCCTCTCAGCCAGATCTCTCTGAAGAGGTAGAAAGTGAGCCCGAAGTTTGGGCTTCTAGTCCTAGCTCCAACATTTTACTGTGTAGTCTTAACAGGTGACTTCCCCTCTCTCAGCTCAGTGTTTCCTTCCATAAGCAAAAGAGATTTGCTGGATGGATGTTATTGGAACTTCATTAGTGTGTTAAGCCTTCATGTACTATATCCCTAAGGTCTAGCCAATTAGCTGCCATGCAGGTCTTATTGGAATGTACAAAACCACTTTGACAGAGATGACTAGTTTTCCTCTTACACCTAACCTTCTACTGTAGAATTTTTAGTTAGGCACAGGGTGACTCAGCTAAAGACTACAGCTCCCAGCCTGCCTTGCAGCTGGGTGTGGTCACGTGACCATTTTCTAGCTGCTAACAGGATGTCAGAACAATTGATGTGCACAACTTCTGGGTCATGCCTTTAAAGAGAGGGCATATACCCTCTCTTTTCTCTTCTTCCCTATTGGCACTGGCTGGAACACAGATGCAGGAAGCCACCTGCGGCCATGCTGCCAAAGGCAACACTCTGAGGACTGCAGAGCAGCAAGACAGAAGGCCCTGAGGGGTTGCGGTATCAGCTCCGAACACACCAGAGGGGCAGATGTGTAAGAATTAAGCATCTATGCTAGCTGTCTTTCTAATGGCACCCAATGCGACTAATGCAG